GTGGCTGCTGTGGCTGGTTGGTAGACGAATAGGACGAGGAGCGCGACGTGGCTTTGAGACTGCGAGGCACGTTGGTGCGCGGTGCGATCTGCGTGACAAAGTCGTCGTCGTCGGACTCGATGCCCCACGCCTGGTCGTCAAAGTCGCCTGCCCGTCTGGCCTGGCCTCCGCGCGAAGAGGAAGTAGAAGATGAGGCGGGTGCCATCTTTTCGCAACCAACCCGGCGCGTTATCCAAGCACCGAAGCTGTCGAAAGGCCTCGGTGACGAGAGTGACGCTATGTGGTGGTGTCGAAAAAGAAGCAGAGAGCGAGAGCGAGAGAGAGAGAGAGAGAGAGAGAGCCAGCTCACTTCCACTCACTCAAATGATGCGTGTCTCTCTCTCTCTCCTTCCCTCGCTTCGCTTCCCTCCAACCACTCCAACACCAGCGACTCCGCGTTCCGTGCAAGAAGAGTTGGGCGCGTCCGTGCGCTTTGACCGCCCTCCCTCCAGCTCCGCTACCTGTACACCATCTTCTGTGATAGAAACAGCAACAGCTCCTTTAGCTCAGTGGGAGAGCGCGCCACTCGTATACAGTTCCAGTACATGGTTCTCGACTACGCATATGGTGAGGTCACTAGTTCAATCCTGGTAGGGAGCAGTCTTTCTTTTTCTTTTTGCATCCTTTTTGACGGTGGTCGTCTTTTTTTGTGACCCTGATTTTTGGAGAAAATTTTATTTTTATTTTTATTTTATTTATTTTATTTTGATTCGTTTCAACTCAAGCAGGTCTCGAAAGGATGGTCGTGGCTGAATCAGGCAAGCACGATGGGACTGCAAGGCTGAATGGCCGGTGGCTGCTTGACATACGATACTCTTGCATTGGATGCGCCGTTCTGGAGCCGACAAAGAGAGAAAGAGAGAACAGCGGAGCGGCGGGGAAGGCGGCCTCTGTCCAAGTTTCGGGAAGGGTTTGACGGTTAACGTTAGGTCTGTCAAGCACGTCGCGGGAGATGAGTTTCGGGAAGGAGCGTGTCAGGCGCTGGACTGAGGGAGGCAGACATGCCGCGCCTCTGATTCGTTGGAAAAACAGGTCATGTGCGTCTTCATGCATGGACGGATGCATGGCTGTCGGGGTTGCAGTCTGTACAAAACCACGGTGTTCCGGATCGACCTGGCAACGTTCAAGCGACCGAGCCTTCCGTCGACGGCAATGGTTTCAGATCGGATTGGCTCT